TGCTGGGGAGGGGCGGGATGGGGGTGGCCCTTGTCCCGTCCTGCGCGGTTCCGCCCGTGCCCGCTGCTGCGGGGGGACACCGGCAGCTCCCCACGCGTGTGTCCCGTCCGTGCAGGCGGCTGTGAAGCGGGGCTGCAGCTCGGTCACAGCCGGGGACTGAGCCTCGCTGCCGCTCGGGACCCCGCGCATCGCCCCCAGCCCCACCGCCCCTCCCGATGGGTGACCCAAAGGAGTTGTCAGCGCCACATGGCTTAGAATTCACTGCTCTTACAGGGCACGGCCCTTCCCTTCGCTCCGGGGGGTTAATAAAGGAGGAAAAATCCCTTCAGCCTCCCCTCCCACGCCTGCAGGTGCCTCCCTTGCTCCCTCCCTCATCAGGATGGGAACAGCTTCGTCCTTATCTCGTGTGAGCTTTGGAGCTTTCGAGCATCCTTTGCACTCCTGGAGGGACCCCCTTGCTCTGGCAGCTTCAGGAGCAGCCAGAGTCCACCTGCCCTCACACCCTGGTAGACCATCAACAGCAAAACTCAGCAGAGTCCAGTGGGCACTTTTAATATATATAATTTATTGATGAATTGTACAGCTGTGACCTTTTCGTACCACCCCATCCAGCGAGGGGAAAAGGCTTGAGTAGAGCTGTGGTTACTTGTTTATACCAGCTGCCCACCTGGATCTGCCAGCTGGGGCTCTGGACGCTGGGTAATACATTAACTTGTCTGAGTTGCAATAGAAATCTGATAGCTTTAATAGACATATAATAGAATTCTTAGGAGAAATGCCTAAACCCTAGGGGAGATGGAAAATCCCAGTGGCGTGGATGCTCAGCATGGCCAGACACTGGAGCTGCAGGGTCCTGAGGATCTGTGGCTCCTGGTGATTCCCGTGTCTGGGAGAAGCAGCATTGCCTGAGCCGTGTCATGGCAGGGAGCAACGCTGCTGTGCCCCAGTCCTGCCCCTCAGCTCTGCCTCTGTCCCACCCAGCTCCTCGGTAAACACAGCACGAGGCACCCACAGCTCCAGAGCTGCTCCTCTCACAGGGAGGTGCCTGGTGGCCTTTTCCACGTGGAGCCCGGATCCAGCCAGGCACAGTTCCTGCAGAACTGCCGGGCAGCCGATCCTCCCCAGCTCCGGCCAGGGCTGTGCCACCCCCAGGAGCGCGGGCTCCAGAGACACCCTGCTCCGTGCAGCGCTCCTGCCTTGGGTGGCTGGTCCCTGGGGCACTTCTGGGCACAGATGTGCACCTTCCTGGCAGGGAGCAGGGCGGTCTCAGTTGCAGCCACACTCCTCGATGATCATGTCCTCGTGGTGGCGGACAACGATTTCACCCTTCTCGTAGTAGAGCATGGAGAGGGGGCTCATCTTGACTGGGGAGCAGGCGGGACACGGCACCTGGTTGGGCTTGTAGAGCTGCAGCAAACTCTGTGGGAGACACGGGAAGGGCAGAACATTGCTGTGCTGCGGGCAGGGGGTGTGGGGGATGTGGGGGATGCAGCATCCCCTCTTACCTGTATGTAGGCGTGGTTGGTGGGCTTGAAGGTCTCGTCCACGGGTGAGGGGCACAGCCCTTCACAGCGGTAGGCGTTGTACTTCTTGGGGTAGACGATCCAGCTTCCCCAGCCCGTCTGCTCAAAATCCACCATC